AGTCTGCCCTCACAGTTGGGCAAGCCCTCATCGCCTTCCTGGAAGATACTTTGGCAATGATGGCATTTAAATGAGTATATGCGAAGAAAAGTTGGGTTTCGAGTAGTCTCTTGTTTCACAATTGTTGAGCTTACTTCCGTTTCGAGTGAAAGTGTTGCGTGAAGAGATTCCACCATTTCTACTCTCTCCTACCAAAGCCATGATCGCCAAGAGGGTAGAGTCGACATTTCAGGCTGGTCGGACAGACACCAATTCTTTTTTTACAGTGCAATTGTCGATGATACTAATTGTTATTTCAAATCAAATTTGACGACACTACTTAAAACCAAGTGAGTAGTCTTGTCAAAAATAAGAGAATCTTGAATCAGAACTTGATTTTTCAGGCAACCGTTGGTGTAGAGCGATCTAGAAGCCTCTAATTTGAGTCCCCTTATGGATGCTGATGAGAAGATGAGGCAAGGCCGATAGTACAACCATTATTTAATGGGATCTAAAGTAAATCGAGTTTTATTCAAAGTCTACTTATTCAAATTGTTAAGCTCAATTGCATTTCGAGTGAAAGTGTTGCGTGAAGAGATTCGAAGCTCGGTTCAACCAGAAGACGACGGCCGATTCCTCTTGACCAGCTGTCGATTGGCTTTACTGGAACATTCATGCTGACGCCTCCGAGGTGTAATCTCATTCGATTCCGGTGAAAAGGTGATAAGATTTCGTCCGTCATAAGACCAACATCATCACAACCAAATTCAAGCTAACTAGTCTATAAATCTAACATAATCACTTTATACTTGATCAAAGAGGCCAGATGTAGAGTATATATACCACTTTTAAGGCATTTTCCGGTATGTTTTCTTGACTCGTTAGCTTGAATTTGGTTGTGACGATGGTAGCTTGTCTCATCGTCTCATCAGCATCCATAAAAGGACTCAAACTAGAGGCTTCGCGATCGCTATAGACCAACGGTTGCCTGAAAAATCAAGTTCTGATTCAATATTTTCCTCTTTTTGAGGAGTCTACTCACTTGGTTTTAAGTAGTGTCGTCAATAGAGATTTAAAATAACAGTTTATAGCATCGACAATTGCACTATAGAATAAGAATTGGTGTCTGTCCACCAGCCTAAATTGTCGACTCTGCCCTCTTGGCGGTCATGGCAGCGGTAGGACAAAGTGGAAATGGGAAATAAGAAAGTATTTTGCGAGGCACGTTCAAGTGCCCTCCACCGGCGGCAAATGCGACCATCAATCGTCAAAGGAACTTGAGTGGTCGAGCCATTTTCACCTCGAATCTGTTGCCTACGGCGGAAAACCGTTGCTACAGGCTGTGCTTTCGGCGGAGAGCATCTCGTCCGAGGCAGGAGGGAGCTCGAAACTGGATGTGGGATAGTCGTTTTCGGTACACGCAATCATTCAGCCGAACTCGCAGAAATTCTGGTCTGCAGGAGCACCAAGAACTTACTGTGTCGGCACAGGAAATGGCGACAAGTGAAGTATATGCATCGAGTGAAAGTGTGCAAAATGCTTGCAGTTTCTCTACACGCTCTGATCGAGAAATTTCAACCATTCGACTCTACACAAATCGGATCGAGTTCCATCTAAAAGCAACCTTGAGAGATGTTGAATCAAGGTTGAGGAAATTTGAAATATTGAGGTAATTCACACATGACGCTTTACCAGTCCTCATATCTCCTCTCCTATCCTCATTTATTTACTCTTCTATTTTCTTATTTTCGCTTTACTTCTCTTCTCTTTTCCTCTCTCCTGTTCTGATATCTTCTTTTCTCTTCTCTTCTAATCTCTTCACTTCTCTTCTCTTCGGATGTATTCTATTCTCTTCTCTTCTCATCTCTTGTGTTCTCTTCTGATCTATTCTCTTCTGTTCTCTTCTCTTCTGATCTCTTCACTTCACTTCTCTTCTGATGTATTCTCTTCTCTTCTGTTCTGTTCTGTTCTGATCTCTTCTCTTCTTTTCTCTTTTCTTCTGATCACTTCACTTCTATTCTCTTCTGATGACTTCTATTCTCTTCTCTTCTGTTCTCTTTTGATTTCTTCTCTTTTCTTCTTATATAATCTCTTCTCTTCTCTTCTGATCACCTCTTTTTTTATCTTCTCTTTTCTTCTCTTCTTTTATCTTTCCTTCTATACTTTTCTCTTCTATTCCCTTCTCTTCCCTTCTCTCTTCTTCTCATATCTTCTCTACTTTCTTCTTTTTTTCTCTTCGTTTCTCTTCTGAATTTTTCTTTTCACTTCTCTTCTCTTCTGTTCTCTTCTGATCTCGTCTCTTCTTTTCTCTTCTCTTCTGATCTCTTCACTTCACTTCTCTCCTGATGTATTCTATTCTCTTCTCTTCTCTTCTCTTCTTATCTCTTCTCTTCACTTCTCTTCTCTTCTGATGTCTTCTCTTCTCTTCTGTTCGGTTCTCTTCTGATCTCTTTTCTTCTTTTCTCTTCTCTTCTGATTACTTCTCTTCCCTTCTTTTCCCTTCTCTCTTCTTCTCATATCTTCTCTCCTTTCTTCTTTTCTTCTCTTCGTTTTTTCTTCTGATCTTTTCTCTTCACTTCTCTTCTCTTCTGATGACTTATATTCTATTCTCTTCTCTTCTGATATATTCTCTTCTTTTCTCTTCTCTTCTGATCTCTTCACTTCACTTCTCTTCTGTTCTCTTTTGATTTCTTCACTTTTCTTCTCTTATAATCTCTTCTCTTCTCTTCTAATCTCCTCTTTTCTTTTAGCTTCTCTTTTCTTCTCTTCTTTTATCTTCCCTAGTCTTCTTTTCTCTTCTCTTCTTTTCTCTTCCCTTCTCTCTTTTTCTCATATCTTCTCTTCTTTCTTTTTTTCTTCTCTTCTCTTCTTTTCTCTTCTGCTCTGTTCTGTTCTCTCCTTTCCTCTCCCCACCTCACCTTTTCTTTTTGCCGCTTATCATACCAGTTTTACATGACATATATTATATAAACCAGCTTTTTTATCTAGTTTATAGGCTATATTTGCATATATCCCAGTTTTGCATACTAGATTTTCCAAAAGCCATGTTATTCCATCTTACTTTCTACCCCTGCCTTTCATTGAAAGAGGATTTTAATCCCTCTAAATACGCCAAATATTTACTGTATATACCAGTTTGCTTTTAAATTAGTTTATTACACTAGTTTAACATATCAGATTTCATATATATTCTCTTATTTTGCCTGATTTTTACCATCTATCTCAGCTGTCCACATAAACTAGCTCATTTCACCAGTTTTCTATGCTGCCTATTTTCCCCATCTACAATCTTTGCATACAAACTGGCTTATTCCACCATCTTTTCACATCATCCAGGTCTTCCTGAACGCCTTGTCTGTCTGTGAGGGCGTCGTGAGTGCCCAGTTCCGACAGGAAATTGGTCATTCTGTGATGGCCTACCGAGAAAGTGCTGCGGGCAGATACATTTGTACCTGGCCTCGGGCAGATCGACACAGACGCCGCCGTGTCTGCAGGGCTCCGTGAGACAGTCGTTCACGTTGTCGGTGCAATTGACTCCCGCCCAACCGTGTCGGCAGCGACAAATGTAGCCGGCCTCTCGACCTTTGCCTCGCAACTCCGCTGGCAGGTACGGAGGATAGTCCGAGGAAGCTGCGAGCGCCGGGCTCCTCGAGTCGTCGACGAGGACCAGCCGGTCCTGGCAAGTGGCTCCGTTGCGGCAGGGCTCGAGGCTCGCGCAAACTCCCGAGTTGGCCAACCGAGACTGGCTGCCTCGAAGGGTTGCTCCTGAAAATCAACGAGAGGGTGACACAGACGCTCCATTTAATGCAGATTTGCAATGTTTTTCTTTCAAGTGCGATTCGAATCCAAGTTGCGCTTGACTAGAGTTTGCATCTCGCCTAAAATGCTCTTATCCGCAGCCTCAGCAGGCATCGAACCCGGCTAGTTCAGAGTGTAAACTCAATTCTTATTCAACATGTACTGCATACTACTTTATATGAATATAAGTAGCTAGTCGTGTGAAATGGGACTATGCAAGTTTATATTCATGTTGAGTATGTTTTAAAGGAGAATAATGCAAATAATAGTTAAATTTGCCGCAAGTTTTCATTAAAATGTTAATAGCCTTGTTTTCCAAAAGAGATGGATTGTATGGCAATTTACATTTCGCTTAGGACTCCTCAATAGCTCTGGTTTAAATCCCGCCAAGGCGATTTTGAGGCTAGTTGATACGAGGTCGAAGCTACAGTCCGATCCAGACGAGATAAGAATACATTTTAAGAAGCAAAGCTAAATGCATTTCAATGAAAGTGGGAAAATTCATCTACTGGTCATTCATCCTCTTATGCGACCTAGGGCAGATACAGCTCATATTTATAATATATTGATAGTTCCAAAAGCCTACTCAAATGGAATATAAGTAGTTGGTTGTAGAAGCAAATAGAGCTTAGCTTCAGCTACAATCCCACTATAAAGAGTGAGACATGAGAAAAACCTAGCCTTCCTTGAGATCCACACAGTTACGACCCGGGTTCGAGTCCCGTCGGGAGTGCTGATGAGACCGGCTCGGGGAAGTTGAAGCTGCAGTCCAGTCCATCTTTAATGAGAATAAACTTTGTAAAGCAAGGATAAATTGAATTCAATGATAAAGTAAAGTTTATTTTGATTGAATGTGACGAAATTCACTCCCAATTCTTCATCCCCTTGAGCGCGCTAAGCTGACTAAAGCGGCTATTCAAGAGTAACCGAAATATTCTGTACCTACTTTGTGTGAATATTAAATGAGTATGTCACAAAATCTTGCTCTCAAAAATGTGTTCCCCTACACTTTCAGCTCAATCTGGCTCACATGTGCACTGTGACGGAATTCGATGGACTACATTACCTATTCTGTATCTACTGCCACTTTTCAAGTAGTCATGTCGTTAATTTTAATACAACATGTCAACTTGTCACATTGATGAGACTACGACTAAAAAAAGTGTAAAAGACAGGTTTTTCCTAAATTGGTGGTCAGGCTTCACATGCAGCTCAGGTTTTGCTTGAATCGGGAAAAGTGCAAAACCGGTACAACTCGACCCAAATCAGACACACGATTGCTACGAAATAGAGCCGGTTGCTATCAAAATTTACAAAAGGATGCCTGTTTTGCAGTCGACATGACTTGTAGAAGCTGCTGCTCTGACAAGGCATGTGAATAGGGCATTATTTGGCAAACACACAAATTCCCACACGCACAATAAAGCAATAGTTTTGTATGCAACATCATACATCATTGAAATCACAATTTGCCTGATGATGTGCATTCACCCGATTTCGTTCAATTTCCCACAATCTGATGTAGTGAATTTCGCATAGCCCTGCCTACTAAAGTGTGTTTTTCCCTTGACTGTGAGAGGTCTGCAGTTACAACCCGGCTTCAACTGGTCTCCCCAGCACCCGCAGCGAGACTCGAACCACAAAAGTATGCTTTACAATCTCGGTATAATGCCACAAGTGCCCATGAGGCATAGGACAGATGTGAATCGCATTTTAGCACATTACATTCTGTAATGGGATTGTCGATGACAATCGACGACATTTTTCATGTTTTGTGTATTGGTACTTTCTCAAAACTAACTACAAATTGTTCATATTAGGTGGGAAAATGCAACTATCACTCAGCTCATCAGCTCAAACGAATTAGGGTGAATATGTTTCATACAACTGCTCTACTGGCAGTGTGGAAAACTGACTTTTAAACGAAAAATATTGCTGTTGCTGTTGCTGCTACTCCTTTCGCATGCGGCATCTTGCATTTATATGCATATGTGTGTATGTGTGTATGTATGTATGTATGGATATATATATATATATATACGTGTGTGTGTGTGTGTGTGTGTGTGGGTATTCGCGATTGAATGAACGATTCCAAATGGCTTTAGGGGCGATCAGTCACGAACAATGTGTGACTATGGCTCATCTGTCCGGATCTTTGGAAAGCGGCAAAGACAAGATGGTTTCACCGTTCCGCCTCGGGAACCTTTCGGCCATACAGGCCCAAATGCACACTTCATGCTCCTTCTGATGCCAGTCTGTGAAAGCCGTTTTCTCCACTTCTCAACGCCATTCCACTTTACTCAAACGGCCCATTCCTTCTGCTACTCATACACACAATCACACGAAGAATGGCTGCATGTGAAAAATGCGTACGTGGCGAGACTTGGAGCGATGGCCGAATCTACCGGCAATGGCGAACGCCAATCTAATGCATGCACACAATGATGCACCAACATATGCACACACGAGTGCACATGTGACTGCACACATGCATACTTGTTTATAGACAAACCTACACAATACATATATACACATGTATATCTATCTATCTATCTGTATGCATGTATGTATGTGTGTGTTTGTGTGTGTGTATATGCATGCGTGTAGATATGCGTAGAGAAACAGCTTCGTTTTGTCAAGAAGCCAACTGTTTCGCGAGTTTGCTTACACAAACGCAATATTGTTATTGCCTGAACAATGCCGAAGAGAGGGGAGCCTTGGAGGCAGGAGACGGCATTGGGTGCGTTGGTGACCGACGCGCATGTCCACAACGACCGGACGACCTGCCGCGGCAAGCGACCGAGGCCGGCCGAGGGGGGGTTGTGCGCGGTGGAGGGTACATTTGTGCAGGCCTAGGCAACAATGTGCTCCGGCCGAGAAAGCAAATCTTCTCACGCTCACATGCATTTGTTGGGATTAATCACCGCACATTTCCTGAATCTGTCGCCGGGCGACACGGCAACGGGTGAAGCGTGGAAAGCGGATTTTGCCATTCTCGCGCAAGACCACAACGCCGCCTGCCCACTCTGCTCAACTGCCGGCCGTGCCTCGGTGTTCCGCTTTCCTTGTCTCCATGCCGACGTGTATGCATGCGTGAGTGTGTTCATGTGTGTGTGTGTGTCTGTGTGTGTGTGTGTGTGTGAATGTGTGAGAGGCGAGCCAAACCGAGCATATCGGACCGGTCGTTGAAACACCAATGACACGTTGCTTCCGACTCTTGTCGCCCGCACCCCGGCACAATTGACAGTGGGACCCTTGTCGCCATGGCAACTGGACTCGCCTGTTGCTACCACACAGGCCGACAAGCCCTCGCCAGCATGACGACCAGAGAAAGTCACTAAGTTGGCACCACTTTAGTGGCGATCATGTTTGTCGGGTATGGGTTGAGAGGATATGCCTCAGACCGTCATGGGGTCTGAAAGAAGAATTAGAGTCAGTCAAGAAAGCTTAAAGAATGCATCGAGTTTTAAGTGGACTCGACTCGACTGGGTGGGTTTCACATGTTGACGCCATGATTGGGAGAAGATTATGTGTAAAATTGTGTGGTGTCGTAAAGCTATTCTTTTTTTGTACAAAATTCCCGTGCCAAGACTACTCGTCAATTGGGCAGTAGTGTCTGCGATTGCAATAGCAAATACAATTTTGCCTTATTGACGGCGAGCTCAGAATGGATGGTTGACTTGCCGCCAGTTTGCACACACAATCGGGGCTCGAACCTGTTGCGGTGAAGCCGTACGCCCGAATCGGGATGCTGCAAAGCAGTTTGGCAAATGAGGCAAAGTGAAATTGAGAAGCAGCTCGTCTCGGTCCTTGCATCTCCTCAAGCCATTTACACCGACTCAGGCTCCTCTCTTTTGCAAAGCGCTTTTGTCTAATTCTGACAATTTTAAGGGCTCGAACTGTAAAAAGCCATTCCAATCTCGACTGAACTGGAGAGAAGATTCGACTTGGTCTGGGATTGGGCACACGTTGGCTGAGACAACTTTTGGGAAATTCATTGGAAACATCAGCTCGACGCACATGATTGCGGGAAAATGGTACTACCAGGCCTTCAGCAGCTTAAACTAAATCGGGTGAATACATTCTGTGAAATTAGTTGATGATTGGGCGATAGAAAGAGAGATGGTATGAGGAGCGAAATGGAACTACATTTCGTTTCTTTGACTGCTGGTCAGGTAGAAGCACAAGACAAGAATGGGACAGTTTATGCTAGTTTAATGAAGATTAAGGCAAAAAGGCAATTAGTATTAAGGGCAGAGAAAGGAGGAGCAGTAGTAGTTTCGGCCAAGAGTGATTATGTAGAGAACATGTTAGAGGCATTGGATGATGATGCAACATGTGAGACTAGAATTAGGAACCAGACAGAAGACAGAACAGGGTCAAAATTGACGGTGTACTGTGGAGAAGTGGAAAAGTGGGAAATGAGTCCACTTTTTGCCCAAAATCCAAAAACAAGGTGCTCTCCGATTGGGATTTGTGTTGATAAAAGAAAACATGACGATTTGCATGTACTTGATTAAAACAAATTTGCGAAATGTGGAACTGTTCAGTGAAGAATGTCGACGACTTTCACAAATTGGTTGATGATTGGGCGATAGAAAAGGGAGATTTGCTGGTACGTTTCGACGTAGTGTCCATGCACACTGACAGTCCGCTCAACGAGACAATGAAGGTGTTAACATTGACTTTACATCTACACCCTGAAATGATGAGGTCAAGAGTCAGGCAAAGATTGGATCATCCGATTAGTCAATTTGGCAATGAATAATGCATATTTTAGCTTCAATGGTGAGTGGTTCGAGCAGAAACACGCGGTTTGGCGCCTATTTTAGCCAACAACTGTATGGCCCGATGGGAAGTGGGTGTCTTTCAACAGACACTCCCACTCGCAAAGTGTTCAGTTCGCGCTCTGGACGATTGCTTTGTTGTCTTGACAATAAGTTGGTCAGCAACGTGTACGAGAAGAACAAACATGCGGTTTCCCTATTCATTTCTCATCTGATCACACAAATGGGCCTAAAGTAGGAGTTATGCAGATTGAGGCATGTTTCGTGTCGAAAGAGTTCATCGTGAGGATTGGTAGATGATTGCATTTGAGTAGTCAGTCACGAAGGGAAAGGAGGGGGGGAGATTAGTGTCTACGGCGGGACAGACAGCTGCCAGAATGTACAAGGCGAAAGGTACACTTTGTTCGGTCTTGCTTTCTTCTCCAACCGCTTCTCACCCTCTTTCTGGATCAGACTGCCCTCGGTTTTGTCGCCGTGTCGTCCGGTCTATGCAGGCCAGAGGTGCCTGTAAAGTGTTTGGCCGGACAAATCTCAGCTCGCTGAACACAAACTTGATACAGAATCGTGAAAAGACGGTTTGCTGGTCACGAGGACTCGGCATCAAAGCGTACGATTTGTGAGTCTATGCAAATGGACAAAACCGTCAAAGTCCAGAATGGGAGGGACGAGTAGTAGAGAGACTTGAAGGGAGATAACTAGATAACTAGATAGATATATAAATATATATAGATATAGATATAGATAGATAGATAGATATTTAGATAGATTGATAGCTTGATCGAAAGTAAGAAAGAAAGGATGAAACAAAGAAAGAAAGAAAGAAAGAAGGAAAGAAAGAAAGAAAGAAAGAAAGAAAGAAAGAAAGAAAGAAAGAAAGAAAGAAAGAAAGAAAG